GAGTCTCATATGCAGGTCTATGGCATACAAATGTTTTTAGATTTGTTGCGGCAGCGTGACAGTGTAACGCTCGCCAATGCGCACTTGCTCATAGCGCTAGCGCTAACAACCCTCAAGAATCGGGAATCATATACATTCTTGAATTGCGTACGGCTGTTCGTTGGTCTGGTGCATGTGATGGAAGCCGAGGTGCTGGAAACATTGTCCGATGAGTACCTTAGCGACCAGGCGCAAATCGATTATCGGTTGGTGGTGGGAGAAGCGATGCTAAAAGTGGGACAAGAATTGGGTAGGTAACATTATTTCTATGCTTGCGTGGTTTAAAAATCTTGCCGTTTCAGGTCCATTATGCTATAAATATAAAGATACATTGCTGAATTGCTTTATGCATGGCGCGCGAAGTCCACTTAATGAATTCCGTATGTCGTCCTTTTCCAATCTGGCGCAATTGGCGCGCATACTATGCTATCAAGTGCAAAAATTCTTCCAAGAAGTGAGTAGTGTGCGTGTCGCTGGAAAGATAATTTTAATAATTCTTTTTTGTTTTGTTTTAGCTACTCAACCTCGTCGATTGTGAGCTAAGTACTGGCAAATACTTGCCTGCCAAGCGCGCTGCTACCTTGGTGCTAAGCGAACTGCTGACAGGCATCGATAGTCTGCTGGAATTTGAAGAAATGCTATTGCCAATTTATCGCGTTCTCAAGGTAATCGAAGCCGACGAAGATGCTGATGTAAAAATGCGTCAGCATGCTGCCAATGGCCTTAAAACTTTGGCGGAAAAATGCAAAAAGTTTCTTTTCCCGGAAGCGCAACTACAGAAGGAGATACACATACCCGGTATTAATGAGCCGAAAACAAATCGGGGTAATACAAAAAAACACATTTTAGAGTTAAACTAAAATACTTGCTTTATTTTACTTCACAAAATATGTGTATATTTTTTGTTGGCATTTTTTAAAAATAGTTTCTTCATTCCGTATAAATGCACTGTTCTTTACATTTGCCGACGAAATCAATTGTAAATATGTAGGTATACGTGAAACTGAAAATGTGAGTGCTAAATCAAGCTTACAACATTCATGAATAATCAGCAATAACAAAAAAAAA